TCCTCTTCCAGACTCCAGCTCCCGTTACTCCGTGCTTGATCTGCCTCCTCACAGCTTACGCCCCCTGCCCGCTGACAGAGGACATGGAGACTTTTGGGATGATAATCTTCATTCTGGATTAGCCATGCTATTACTCCTCAGTCAGTTTCTGCCTTTCCTCTGATGGAAATAGCTCAGCCTGCCACTTCCATTCTGTCCCACTACTCTTTCCTGAACATCCCATTGTTCCTGAACAATCTATTGCTGTGCCTTAGTTAGCTTGTTTCTCTTAGCCAACAAACATGCCCATTTCCTGTGAGACATAAATCATGATCTCTGAAGGTACCATCGGATCATCCTGCTCCTCCCCCCCCAGCCTCTGTCTCTGTCTCTCTGTCTGTCTCTGTCTGTCTCTGTCTGTCTCTGTCTCTCTGTATCTGTCTCTGTCTCTCTCTGTTCTGCCCTTTCTCCTCAGATGATTTCATCCATTTAGACAGCACTAGCAATTGTGACATTCCTTTGTCATCTACTCTCAAGATACACCTCCAGCTCATTGTGTATCTCAACCAAAGCTCATGATGTCCTCTGAACCAGCTGGCTGTCCTCCTGCCCCCTCTTTCTCCATGAATAATGCTGTCACCGGCTGTGCAGTCTCTAGCCAGAAGCCTCAGCGTCATCCTTATTCGCCCCCAGCCTCTGCCTCCCGTGAATCACAGAAGGGTTTCACTGGGAGATAAGTCTGGTGTGCGGGTGGTTCCTTTTAGATGGACTCTCAGACCTCCACTCCTCTTCCTTCCAAAGTTGCCGCGCTCCCCACATCTTTTCACCTTTCACCTGAGTTGCTGCTCCAGTTCAGCCGGCCCTTCCTTTCTACATATTTTCCTTTGCCACGTCTGAAGGTTCCCCCACACTCCAGTTGATATTTTGAAACCCTAACCCTGCTTCTTCTTCTTCTTCTTCTTCTTCTTCTTCTTCTTCTTCTTCTTCTTCTTCTTCTTCTTCTTCTTCTTCTTCTTCTTCTTCTGGTTTATTTATTTATGTATATGAATGCTGCCCTGTCTTCTGGTATATCTGTAGGACAGGAGAAGGCGTCAGATCCCATTATATATAGATTGTTGTGATCCGCTATGTGGTTGCTGGGAATTGAAGTCAGGTTCTCTAGAAGAGCAACCAGTTCTCTTAAGGACTGAGTCATCTCTCCAGCCCCAGAGTTTCTTCTTGATTCTAGGCAAGGGCTAAGCAATAAGGCACACTGTGAATTAGGTCACAGGTCAAGTAAACTTTTTGGATCTTCCCCATGAACTGTTCTGCCTCCAGACTGAGGCAGGCGAATTTCTGTGTTTAGAAGTCATCTAGTCTGTGGAATTTCATATAAGCAAGTGAATGGCCTACGACAAGTCCCCCCAGTGATGTGATTAAGTCACAAACAGTATTGCCAGTGAGATACGCATGTGTCCTCTGGTGGCCTTCACAGTCAGGGCTCCTTAAATTTTTTTTTTCAAATTTTAAATGTTTGTGTTGATAGGTTTTTTTCAAAATCTCAATCTGTAGCCCATATCGATCCCAAACTATCCATCCTCCTGCCTCAGCCTCCTGTTGGGCATATTGGTCTGCTGGGCCACACCCAGGAGTTAAAATGGCATCCAATGCTGATACATTTCTTCCTCCCTGACTTACTTTGACATCCCCATGTAAACTTTGAGCTCTTAAAAGCAAGTGCCCCACATTCTAGGCAAGCTGAGTTTCTGGCCCTTTCCCACAATGTCACTTCTCATTCCCAGCTCCACCAACTCCCTCTTCTTTCAACTCTTCTCTTGACAGATTCCTTTTATTTATTTATAATAAAAATATGCGTGGGAGGTGGGTGGGGTGGCATAGACCTGAAATCCTAGCTCAAGAGAGGCAGAGGATCAGAAGTTCAAGGTCATCCCCACCTACCAGTTACTCAAAACAAAACAACAACAAAAACAGATGAGCTTGGGGTGTAGCTCCTCGCAGAGTGCTTCCCTAGAACATGCAAATGTCTTGGTTCACTCCCCAGCAATACAGGCAAGGTGGGGAAAATAGGTGTATTTAAAAGCAGGCATTATTTGGCAGTATTTACTTTTCTACTACACCAATGCTGTAATTTAAACAAAACAAAATAGAACCAGAGAAGAAAGGTCATTGGAAGTCATCAGCAGTTGAACTAGACAAATAATACATGTGGAAAAGGTATAATAACTGATCCCCCACTCCCATTCTCTGTTATGATAATTTTACTCTTTCCAAACTCCTCCCTCCCCTTTTTTTCCTGCCTGACTGGTCTGGAATTCTGCCTCCTAAATGCTGGGATTAAAGAAATGTGTCATCACAATTGGCTTTTTGCAAACTCTTTGGTGGATATTCCATTTCTTTACAGATTTACTGATTTACCTGACAAATAAGATTGAATACTTTTTGTTTTGTTTTACTTTGGTGGGCTATGGTTGGCCTCCAACTCATGGCAATCTTCCTGCCTTAACCTTTGAGTGCCAGGACAAAATTGTAGACAATTTAGGTTTACAACATGGTGATTAATTCAAGTACACATAACGGTGGGATTAGCATATTTATTTCATTATCTAGTTGCTTGTGTTGTGTGTGTACTGTGTTAGTTTTAGCACATCTTAGCAAGTTTAAAGTATATTATATACTATTATGGGATGGGCTATACTTACCAGGGTGTGAATGAGAATCCCCAGAACTTAGTACTATTTTGGGGGGAGGTGGGGAGAGGGGTTGAAGAAGGGTCTCTCACTCTGCAGCTGAGCATGGCCTTACAAGCATGGTCATCCCTTGCTTCATCCGTACCAGTACCAGGCTCATATGCTAACTTATACCTAATTTATCATGGGAAGTGGATATTTTGACAAATGCTTCCTCATTTGCCCACTCCCAGCTCAACAACCTCCACTCCACTTGTGTGAGCTCCCACTTTACACATTCCACCCGTCGCTCTGGGTTTCTCTCTCTCTCTCTCTCTCTCTCTCTCTCTCTCTCTCTCTCTCTCTCTCTCTCTCTCTCTCTGCTTGGCTTCTGTCACTCAGCACAGTGTCCTACATGTTCACTCAATGTCCTGAGAGAGTGTCACTCCTCCTTTCCACATCTGCGTCAGAGTTGACCTTTGCAGGTTTCTAAGTCTCTCACCCCGGGCTGCTTACCCAATTCTTCATGCTCCTCATCTTTCGCTTCATTATTTTTGTTTGTTTGTTTGTTTTTGCTTTTGTTTTGTGTTGTACAGCTGGTGGTGGTGGTGGCGGTGGAAGCCATGACCTTGTGTATGCTAGACACGTGCTCTCCTCTACCACTGAGTCAACCCCCAGCCCCTTTGCTTCGATTTTTCATTCGTCCCCTTGGAGATGCTGTGTGTAGGTTGGTTGAACATGTAAGCAGGTGTTGGCTGGGGCAGGTGCAGGTCAGAGGAAGCTGTGATAACAAATACACAGGATGAATATTTGGGATAAACCTTTGCAGAAACAGGTGGCTTCTTGGCAGAGGAATTCTCTTACCTAAGTTAATTTCTAAAGTATGATTTTTCATTTGATCAGCATCAGTCATAAGCAGCTATGGGCCATATCTCTTTGAAAAGGCTTGTTTATTTTAATTTCAAGTCTATGGATGTTTTTACTACACATCTATGTGTGTTTTTCCAGGTGTATGCTGGTACTGGTGGAAGTCAGAAGAGGACATTGGATCCCCTGAAACTTGAGTTACAGACAGTTATGAGCTGCCATATGGGTGCTGGGAACTGAACTCGGGCCCCTTGCAAGAGCAGCAAGTGTTCTTAATAGCTGTCTTTGGAAAGTTTTAAGTGTTTGTCTCTATTAAGTTTAAGTGAAAATATTTCCTTAACATAAGGTATCATATGTACTGAAGGCTGGCCTTGAACTCCCTATGTAGCAGACTGGTATTCAATTCATGATCCTCCTGCCTCTACCTCCCGAATGCTGGGATTTTAGGCATGGAACAGCATGCTCAGCTACTCTATGTGAAACATTTTTCAATAGCAAGGACATTAGCCATCATGGCAACAGGACCTTTTGATTTCTATCTTTTTATGACATATGAGCCAACCTGAAGACTTCAAGTCTATTGTATATGTGGTCCTTGGGAACTGGGAATGAAGCACCATTGGTAGAGTGCTTGCCTAGCATGACTAAAACTCAGAGTGATCTTCAGCACTGCATAAACTGGACCTGGTGGGACATGCCTGTAACTTCTACTCAGGAGGTAGAAGAAGAATGATTAGAAGGTCAAGGTCATCCTTGGATACAGTGGGGATGCAGGGGCCAGTTTGGCCTGTATGATATCCTATCTCCAGAAGTGCTAAAGCGAATCACAACAAAAAAAACCATGCACGCTGTAGGAGGCTAGTGACCAAGAGAAGCTTGAGTAGAAGGGGATAAGTCATGGGAGACATCCATCAGTTTTTAATAACTATGAAAATAAAATAGTAACTACAAAGACTCTCAGAACCTTGCCATCATCATCGGTAGCCCTTTAATGTGGGGAAGAGAAAGAGAGGAGCTTCAAAAGATTGAATTATGGTCTGAATATGTGCCACTCTCCTCTCAGAGTCCTTTTATTGAGACAGTCTGGAATACTGTGGTAAGTGTGTGACTTTGAGTGGTGATAGCATCCTGAGAGTTCCAGAATGCATGGGATTTGTACCTTTATTGAAGGGGCTATGCAACCTGCTGCTGTGTTAGGATACAGGAGCTTACCAGACATCAAATCTGCTGCCCACTTGATCTTTGCATTTGAAAAAAAGTAATACTGTACTGGTTTTGTGCATCAACTTCACACAAGCTAGAGTCATCAGAGAGGAAGGAGCCTCAGCTGAGGAAATGCTGCCATGAGATCCAGCGGTAAGCCATTTTCTCAATTAGTGATGAATGGGGGGAGGACCCAGCCCATTGTGGGGTGTTGCGGTCTCTGGGTTGGTGGTGCTGTCTTCTACAAGAAAAAAGGCTGAGCAAGCCGTGAGGAACAAGCCAGTAAGTAGCACACCTCTATAGCCTCTGCAGCAGCTCCTGCCTCCAGGATCTTGTCCTGTTTGAGTTTCCGTCCTGACTTCCTTCATTGATGAACAGCCATGTGGAGGTGTGAGTAGAATGAACCCGTTCCTCCCCAACTTGTTGTTTGATCATGGTGCTTCCTCCCAGCAATAGAAACCTAACCAAGACAAACACATTTCTATTATTAGTTTCTCAGTACAGCAGCACTGAGGGACCAAGATAGAGGGGTACATTTGAGGACTAGTTTTAAACTGGAAGGACCTATGTTGTCTGAAGGGAACTGACAGCAAGGAAGCCTGTCTATGGGGTAGGTGAACAGGTGGCAAAGAGGATCTTTCTAGAAGAGAGACAGAGATGTTTGGGTGGCAAAGTAGGAAAGGAAGCCTGCTTTGGTAGACTTCAGAAGCACTGAGTGTTTCTGCTTCCGGGGATGGCACAGTAAAAAGCTTTGGCCCAAGAGCTAAGTTACGAGAATATCCAGAAATCCCTTCTTTTCAATTTTAGTTTTTCAAGCTGGGGATCAACTCAGACCTGGTGCCCGTGAAGTGAGCATTCTCACACTGAGCTATAGTCTCAGCTCTCCTTTCTTCTGGGTGACATGCTTTAACGCCTCCATGAATGTGGTTTTAAGGGCAATCCTGTTAGCCACCAGCTGTGCACAGGGTCTCATAAAGAGAGCGGGCTTACCCAATCTACATTTGAAGTTTATTTGGTGGGTAATGATGAGATGGGCCTCTGACCTCCAGGAGTTCACATTCTTCGATGCTCCAGGGCGGCCTGGGCAAGTCCATTAGCCTATCTGTTCGGCAGGGCAGGTGTTTCCAGCAGTAGATTGCCAGAATCAATTCAAAGAATGCACCTGGTAGATGGGAATCTGGAACTGGCGATCACACCATCTCATTTCCAGAAAGCTAAGCCAGGACAGGAATGCTGTAGGCTCTCACCAGCTGGTTTTGGGAAGCTGGAACCACACAGGTGGTTCTCCTCATTCGAAGATTTCGTTTTGATGGATTAATGAAAATGATCCTGTACCCAAATGAGCATTCCTTCCCTCTTGCTTGCTGTCTCCTCTCCTCTTCCCTGTTTACCCTCCCTTCCCTCTGCTCTCCCTCTTCCTTATCTTCCTTTTCTTAGCAACTGTTGTTCTGAGATAGGGCCTGAAACTGTAGCTTAGCCTGATGTTCACTATGTAACCAGGCTGCCTGGAACTCATGATGATCCTCTTGCCTCAGCCTCTCTAATGCTTGGATTACATATAGGAATGGCTGGCTTCTTAGTGACATTTAAAAAATGTCACTAAGAAGCCAAGTGAAATCTCCTTCCTTCCCATATTAAATACATACCCCAGAGAGAAAGACAGAGAAATTCAACCGTGCTCCAGTGAGTTTGGGCAACACAAATTGGAGATGGCGTTTTTTTGGGGGGGGGCACAAGAGTGGGAGGGTAGACCTGGGAGGAATGGAAATTGAGTGTGATCGGAGTATTCACAAAGTGACGAGAAGACAAGGCAAGCTATGGCATCAGGACAACAGGACTGAGGTTATAGCTTAATGGCAGGACACTTAAAATGTACTTGGGGTCCTGGGCTTGCTCCCAGGCACAGAGGCAAAACCAACAAACAACAAACAAAAACCCCCGAATGAAGAAGAGGGTGCATTGTTTTCAGACTTAGTAGGTGAGCAGTAAGATCGTTCTAAAGGAACAGACCTGGATCGGTAGTGATGTTGGTGGAAGGCTGTGTGCAAAGCATGGCAGAAAGTGCTAGAAAAGAATACTTGGTCAATGGACAATGAAGGAGTAGGCATTACTGAATGAGTGGTCCAGGGAGAAAGGCTGAATGAAATAGTAGCCAGTGAGCGGTTGGATCACCAGGTGCTTACAGGCAAAATCCTGACCTTGAACTTTATTGATGGTGCCCTAAGAAGCCACTGGAGGGAGCTGAGCAGGGAGACAAGGAGACCCGAAAAGAAAAATAAGAGAAGAAAAATGCTGGAAGCTCTTGGAAAATGTTCTGCTGCAGAAGAAGACAGATGTAGGCAAACGAGTTACTTGGCTTCAGAGGACTGTGCTGGTGAGCTTGAAGTGTGGCACTGCATGGCTGTGGTGAGGGGCAGTAGGTGGGCTCAGGGTGCTTCAGGGATTGACCAAGAGTTCGTCAATGAATGACGAGGTATGCGGGGTAGGGATGACCTCTTGGGTTGTGGACTGAGCAGCTATGTGATGGTGGAGGTGTTTCCTGAGTGATCTAGGGATAATTCAGAAAGAGGCAGTTTAGATTGGCAAATTAAGAACTCTGCTCGGATCATCGTAAGTGAGGATGTTGAGCCTTGGTGGGTACAGGAGTTTGGAATGTAAGATAGAACTCCATTCTGCAGCTAAACTTTGGGAATCACAGTGTGTGGATGGTATTTAAACTCAGGGCAAGAAGAAATCTAGGGGGGGGGTGGCATATGCCCTTAGGTAGGTGCTGAGCTCAGGGGGCACCAGAATATTTCAGATCAAGGAGGAGATGTGAGCAAGGAGGACCAAAGGACCAAAGGAGCTGCCAGTGCAGTAGGAGGAAGCTGCAAGGGTTGTGTGTGTGTGTGAAAAGCAGGATGTTCTATAAGGGAGTCAAACATGTCAAATCCTGCATCAAGGCTCTAAGATGAGGACCTGGAGCGGGTGACAAGATTTGCTGCAACAATGTTAAGTAAAGCAGTGGAATGGAGGTGAGAAGTGTGATGAAATGAGCCACAGAGACCAGAGGTAAAGATGCAGAAACCTGGGTGTTTGGGGGCGGGGGAGGAAGAAGCCTAGCATAGATGTGTGAGGTAAGGGTTGATCACTTTCATTCATAAAAAAGAAGGAAATGATGAGAACTCTTTGCTATATTGGTGAATCAGAATTTAAAATTAGGAGCTGCTAAACCCAGAGCCAGGCTAGAAGTGTTCGATATGAAGATCCACTGAGCACTTGTCTCAGAAGCTAGGGAATAATAAACTGGGGATATATCTCAGTGAGAGTGCCCACCTAATGTGTACAAGATTCTCGGTTCTGTTCTTGGCACAAGGGAAAAAACAACTCATGCCTTGGGCCAGGAATGTAACTCAGTAGGTGGAGAGCTCTGATAGCAAGCATGAAGCCCAGGGTTCAAACCTCAGTACTGTATAAACCATTTTTGGTGGTGCACACCTGTGTTAACAGCTTCCTGCAGACGATGGAAGGAAGATTAGGAGTTGAAGATCATTCCTTGCTGAATGGGGATTTGTGAGTTAGAGATGTTGTTTAAAGAAAAAAGAAAAAGAAAGGAAAAAAAGAGCAGAGTTGTGGGAAGGCACGGTGGAGATGCTATTACTTCTATTTTCTCTGAGAAGCAAGCCAGTGCCTGGGGAGAGAAGAGGGTCTTCTGCCTTTTAAGGAAGACAGGAAAGATATATGAAATAGTCATTTTGGGGAAAGAGAGACTGAGTTGACTGGACATTTAATGCTAGGAACTTTTGAACTAGTTGAAAGTTTTCTCATAAATAAATTTAAATTAAGGACAAAAACAAGAAGGCTCAGTGGGTAAAAGCCCTTGCCCTGAAGGTCACCTTACCTGAGTTTGATACCTGGAATCCAAGTAAAAGTGGAAGAAGACGTCACTGTCCTCTGATGTCCAGTCCAATGTGTGCCCCCAAAATAATTAAAACAAATTTTATTTAGTTTTAGAAGTTTATTTATTAATGCATTTTATGCATATGAGTATTTTGTCTGCAAGTGCATTTGCATGCCAGAAGAGGATATCAGATTCTACGGGACTACAGCTATAGATGGTTGTGAGCCAGCATGTGGGTGCTGGAAATTGAACCCAGGACCACTGGAACACTAGCCAGTGCTCTTAAACACTGAGCCTCCACCCCAACAAATTAAAAAAGAGAACAAATTGTGTGATTTTCTCTGGTTACCTTCAGCTGGAGATAGGCAGATGTTGGGCGGTAGGAAGTCAAGAGTGTGGGCAAGGGGAGACTATGTAGATGGGACTCTACAGCAGTATAAGTAGGTTTGTGACTATGGTGGGGCTGATGGGTAATGGAAAACATGGATTAAGTAGACTCAGGGTCAATGTGGAGTGAAGAATTGTGGCTGGTTTGCCTTTTGTCATGCCCATCTCTTCCACTGTTTGTGGGTTCCATGAGAAGACATTTGGTTTTCTGCAGTGTAGGCTGTTTCCTCTGTGAAATCACCTCCACAATGAGCTTCTTTTAAAAAAATGGTTTTAGGTTTGTGTGTGTGTGTGTGTGTGTGTGTGTGTCTGCACGCACGAGTTTTTGTATACTACATGTATCCAGGGGCCTGTGGAGGCCAGAGTGCAGTGGGATCCCCACAACTGGAGTTACAGGTGGTTTCGAACCACATGATGTGGGTGTTGGGAACCCAACGTAGGTCGTCTTGCAAGAGCAGTGACACTTTTAACCACTTAGCCATCTCTCTAGCCCCTCATAACACTTATTTTATTGACACCTCCTTTTCTTGAAATCTGTTCCTGTTATATTTCATGTTTACATTATGTCCTGGCTGGCTTTATGTCAACTCGATTCAAGCTAAAGTCATCCGCGAGGAGGGAACCTCGATTAAGAAAATGCCTCCAGGCCAGGTGTGGTGGTGGCACAGGCCTTTAATCCCAGCTCTCAAGAAACCCTGTCTAAAAAAAAAACCCAAAACAATAAATAAATAATCCTCCATCAGATGGGGCTATAGGCAAGCCTGTATGACATTTTCTTAATTAGAAATAGACAGGGGAGGGCAGAGCCCATTGTGGGTGATGTGATCCCTGGGCTGGTGGTCCTAGGTTCTATAAGAAAGGAGGCCTGAGCAAGCCATTATGAGCAAGTCAGTAAGCAGCACTCCTCCATGGCCTCTGCGTCAGTTCCTGCCTCCATGTCCTGCTATGCTTGAGTCCCTGTCCTGAATTTCCGTGACGATTGACTGCAATGTGTAAGTGTAAGTCAAATAAACCCTTTCCTCCCCAGGTTTCTCTGGTCATGGTGTTTCATCACAGCAACAGTAACCCTTACTGAGATGCCTTATTCAGTTGTATTTATCTTATTGTAGCTCTAGGAACAAAA